TATTTAAAAGTCAAATAAAATAGGTGAATTATGATTCCTCTCTCTCTCTCTTGTTTCTTCCGCGAATAAGCGCAAAAGCGAAGAATTGTTCAATACGACTAAAGAAACGGTTTTTATGTGAACATTGACGTGAAAGTGTTTGAATACAAAACACATTTGCATTTTTTAAACAGTTAGCAATTTATCATTACCAATGTGTACAAAATTGACTATATATTGTGTATTGGCAACGCAGAGAAAAATGTAGAATTAGGCTATATGAAAGTTTCGCGTGGGTGGAGCGGTCCACAGTGCGTTCCACTTTTTATTATCCATTCAAGTTAATTTTGTGCAGGATAAAGTTTGTATTTATTGCAAAAAAAACAAAATCAAAAAAGAAGAAGTGCGGGACAAAAGTAGCTGTCAAAAGTTGGAATGCAGATGAAAGGTATAAGGTGTGGTTAGGAGTGGTTAACTTAGGAATAGTGTTATTTAATATTTTAAAAATCAACAATTTTTTCGTGTATATATACACAAGATCATTCTTTCACTGAAGTATGAAAAAAAATATAAACACAAGCTCAACACAATCATCTTTTCTTTCAACACAAGATTTGAAGATTTTCTTCAATAAAATCAGGTAATTTTGTATTGATTTCGGATAAATAAATCTAGGCAATATGTGTGTTTTGCAAAATTGTTCTTATTTTTGTAAAAATTTGATATGTTAAACTCCATTTTTAAAATTAAAGAAGAAAAATAAAACAAGTTATAGAGGAATTTATAATTATGTTAATTTTAATAAAACAATTATTACAATAAATCTAGACTAATTTGAGAATGATTCAGTTAGAGAAGAAATAATACAGATGGGGAACCTATTTCAGCTGATATGGAAGCATCAGAAATAGCAGATGGAGAATATATGATGCAAATAAGAGACAATATCGCAAAAATTTATTGGGAAAATCAATAGTTTTCAATAGTTTTTTGTTTTCGCATTGTATTGTACTTGAATTTTTGGAATTAAACAATTTACTTTATTTTAGCAACAAAAATAGTTTTATAAAATTTTAGAAGTACAAAATTTTACATTCAAATAAAATTTGTGTGTATGGTTATTAAATTAAAAAAAAATCATCTTTCATAGATAAATATCAAACTATAATATAGTAATATCATATATGTATCCCGCATCGCTGTTTGCACTTTTCACCATTCAAAACTTTACTTTTGTATTCTATGTTTTTTTTAACCATTCAAACATTATCCCGCACCGCACTTGAACCTCGTCGCACTTCTTAAACCGCTCCTTCCCACACCGCACTTAAACCGCACCGTCACTCTTAAACTTTTTGTCCCGCATCGTCCAAAACGATAACACCATTCGAAAGCCTTAGAACAAGTCCTGGATAGAGAGCTCTTTGCTCTTCCCCAATGATCATCAAACATATAGGCCCAAATAAGCCCTTATGTATGCACAATTTGTAAACACTCGTATATACGCAAGCAATTTGTAACATTGTTAAGAAATCC